CCCTGGTACAAAAAAATAAATAAGTAAATAAAATAAAAAGTAACTGCAACTGTTCTAAGTGCTTCCACTATTTTAGACTTAGGAATTGTGTAATTGGGACATCCAAGTGATACCAATCTAGAGAGACTCAAGACTCTCTGTAGAGGAGGGGACCCACAGATCTGGTGCCCAAGGGAGTGGGGGTGTCTTGCTCCTTTATAAATTTTAGGTTTCCTTTCTTCTTATGCCTACATGACCAAAAAGCAGGAAGAAAGCCATCCAGTGGTTTATTGCTTGTGTTAGAAAGTGGGATCCTTTCCCAACCCTGGAGACTGTTAGCAACAGGTTGATGGAAAAGTGCTATCTTCACATTTCCTTTTCTTTGATAATCAGCTACCTGTCCTTTGCCTGGTCTCACAAGGTCACAGAGCTAGTAAGTGGCAAGTCCATGATGCAAACCCCATATTTCCTGGATCAAGAACTTGCTCTTAAATTACTGTGCTAAACTACATCTCTGTTTACTATTATAGATGTAGGATGTTTCAGGTTTAAAAGACTGATAATATATACTTTAAATTAAAATATCTTCAAGTTGAATGTGATTAGTCGATTTTAATTATGGGGACAAAATGAAATTGAAGCTCAAAAATCAGATTTTTAAAATACATGCTTGGAAAGGCTAAACATATCTCCTGGTTGATCAGTTTACAGCTGCACTAGTTTTCTCTGCTCCTTGCTTGTTGCTTAGCAATGGATTGTGTGAGGTTGCACTGGAGCTGAGAGGATAAGGGATGAGTGAATATGGGAGGCACTCAGAGGATGGGCATTGCATGCCTTAAATGAACAGGGGGACAGTAAGGAACATAGAGTTGGAATCACATGAGTAGTATGAGTCATATTTAAAGTATAAAGTCACAATTAAAAATTTTACATATTGAAGAGCTTGGTTTTCTTTTTCACTGTCTTGTGATTATATCTATACATGTGCTAGGGACCAAAAATATTCTTGTCACTTTTTCATCCTCTTTTTTCCCTATCATTCTCTGTTCTAAAATTTCCATCAGTTTTGTTTTATTTCTACTACTTCTATTGGTTGGATTTATACATTTAAGTAGCACTTATCTGACTCTATTTCCCATTGCCTCAACTTTGGCTAGAACACACTGATTCCCTTCAATGTAAATAAGGAAATCAGCTCTCCTACATCTCTTGCCCTTCTCCTCTCCCTTTTGCCTCTCAATTTATGCCAGCTAGCTCATGATTTTTATATTAAAAAAATAGTATTTTCAATACATAATGCACACATATCCTCTTCAACACAAATATAGTTACACTTGTATTTTGTGTATTGTTATATTTTGGATGTGTGGTGGCTCCCAAAGCTCATGTGTGAGACAACACAAGACGGTTCAGATGGGAAATCATTGGGTTGTGAAAACCTTAACTCAATCAGTGAATTAATCTCCTGATAGGATTAATTTAGTGGTAACTCAAGGCAGGTGGAGTGCAGCTAGAAAAGGTGGGAATTGGGCTCGTGGCTTTGGGGTATATATTTGTATTTGGCAAGTAGATACTGTTTCTCTGTTTTTCTGATCATCATGTGAGCTGCTTCCCTCTGCCATACTCTGCCTCTGTGATGTTCAGTCTCACCTTAATCCCCTGAAATGCAGTCTGCTGTCTATGGACTGAGACCTCTGAAAACATGATCCCCCAAATAAACTTTTTTTCTTCCCCTACAATAATTCTGGACAGATTTTTCAGTCACAGCAGTGAAAAAGCTGGAAAATACATATATACTTTGGTAATTGGTATATTTGCAAAATGATAAATGGATACAATTTGATCATACTATAATTATACAAATATATTTCATTTTAAAGCAAGTATTATAGTTTGACACAAAGAGAGAAATTAAATTTCCCACTTAAATTCTACTACTTGAAGACCGTGTCAAGCTGAAGTGGACCCTTTGTTCTCTAATTCCACCAGTTTATCAAACAAATGTCACGTTTTGACTTGTTTCCTATTTAGATAATTGTTACACTGCATGGCTATTAGTACTTTTTGAAGAAACAAATTCCCTTTCCTTTTATTCACACTACATTCTGAATAGTCTAATTTAAAATGTTTCTTATATTTTATGTGCTTTTAGAAGTACATTTTAAAATCCAAAGTAATTTAAAACATGAAAAGGAAATAAATTTTGAATCTCTTTATACTTAAAATATGTTTTGCTTGACTTCATACTTGATAGTAGGCAGTCAGAAAATACTGATTTTTTCCTAGCATCATATTTTCCTGGGCAATTTTTATGGCAATCTGATTCTCATTCCTTTGTATTACCTTCTTCTTTCCGGAAGCTTTCCAAATCGTTTTTAAGTTCTAAATTTTTACAAGAATTGGCCTTACAAATTAATCTTTTTTCATTCTTTTGGCCTGAAGATTCTTGATTAATTTTCTGTTATCATGTCTCTTATTATTTCCCATCTTCCACTTTTCTGTTCCTTTGGGAATTGAGATACAACTGATAATTGATTCTCTGGATTATTTTTACCTGCTGAGTTTTATTTTAAGTTTTACTTTTCCCCTTTTCTCTACTTATGGGAGATTCTTCTTTGGCACACATCTAAAGCATAGAACTTCATTTTTGCACATGTCCAAACCCATACCACTAGAAATGTGGCTGCAATGCTGACTTCTGTTTTTTATTCCATGAAATACTTTTAATTACAAGGATTGTGCTGTTGTTATTGTTGATTGCCTATTGTTTTCTATAATGGATTTTCTATCTTCTCAAATATTTTAGGAATACTAACTTTAACATTTAATATTCCCCAATATTTGCTAACTTTTTATTTGCTCTAGAGGTAAGCATTTGGTCCACAGATTGGTTTTTCAGTTTTATGTTTGGTAGTCCTTCTTACCAATTCATTTTTATAATGTATTAATATTAATATTTAAAAGAACAGATTGCTGTTGGCCAGTATTCTGTCTGCCTTTAGATAGGTTTATTTCCTAAACAACTTCTCCCTTGAAAGGGGGCAATGACTGCAAACTCTGTCCGTGTCTGATGTGTTGATAAGCAGGCTGGTTACAGTTTTCGGATGTATGGGCAAGGAGTAGGCAAAAAGAGTCTACCTTTCACTGAACTTTAGGGGGAATAGCAATAGACACCTGAGGAATACTAGCTCAGCTAATTCTTAGATTAAATTTTTAGTATACTTTGGGGTAAACCTCACACTGCTTTGTATCTAAATATAGTGGGGGATTCAGAAACATTGTTGAATAAACATCCTTGGATTAACTTGTCTTCTGATTTCCTTTGTTCCTGTGCCAGCTCTCATTTCTCCGTTCTAATCTCCCAACAAGTGTTGTAGGCTGTGGCTTCTGCCTTGATCTCCTCATTAACATAACCTCATCTGCTGTCTTTTCTTCAGATTTGTATAACCATTTAGTGTCTTTCTTGGATTTTCAATGATATCATGAAATTCCTTATCATAAGTCACTTTCTTCACTTTCCCTTGAGGATATGGAAGCTGGGGACGATAAACACTAAACACGTGGACTCAGACCATTGTCATGAACTAGATACCTATCATGAACTGGATGCCTTTGACTAGAAAGATAGATGAAAGTCTGTAGATAACAGGTGGATGATTATTAAACAGACAAACAGATACATAGAAAATCACATGCAAACATACTAGCTATATAATAAGAAAAAAGTCCATAATAAATATTTTGATAAATATTTTAACTGCAGGAAGTCCTAGATATCAGGATAACACATTCACTTTTTATTTTCAATAGTTGCCTAAGTATCACTAAAATGAGATTAAGGGTGAGTGGATAAAACAATCATGAAAACACGAAGTAGACTCTTGATGGGCAAAATTGTGACCTCGTTCTAACAAAAATATGATCATAGTAAAATGAACATATACTGGAAATATGGTAATTTTTTTTCAAAAATCTAATTTAAACATGATAAGAATAAATACTGATTGACTTTGTTAAATTAAAAGTAATCATCATAAATCCTGGAAGACACTTGAGGTTATCACTTTGGATAAATTCTTTGAAGGAAAATTATTTAGCAAAGAAAATAAATCAACATATTTAAGACTTTCAGTAGATATTTCAAAATTACCTTCAAAACAGTAGTACACACTATGTGTTCTTATTCAGGCAAAAGCCAGTGCTTTTCCCCCATAGCCTCTCTAATATGGCCATCAATTTTAATATCTTTGCTCATTTAATAAGCTAAATTTGTTTTCCCATGTTTATTTTAGTTTTTGTGTCTTTGATTACCTGTGAAGTTTGACAGGGTTTCAGTGTTTTTTAATGATTTGTATTTTTAAAATTATTTATGTTCTTTGCTAATTTTAACATTGAAATCTCTTTTTACTAATTAAATAAAAAGATTTCCCTCTGTTATTTTTATTGTATTTTCTTACTGTTATGTAGATGCCTTCCATTAAAAAAATCATTGTGATGATAATCTAGCATTCCTTTTCTCTAAAGATTGTCTCTTTGGTAATATTTTAAAGGGTGTCTCTACTTTTACACTAAGTGTTCACCTTCATTTTTACTATAATTTTTGAGCTTCATTTGCCCCCTTAAGTATGTATTCTACCCAGAAATCTCAAATCTTAAACTGAATGCATGACTGAAAAATACCTGTGGACTGTTTAGTCATCCAACTGACTAAGGAAGGGGAACAAAAACTTTAGTCATGGGTAGGTTATTCTTCATCATTGACATCTTTTCTGGGTGCGTTGGAATAGCACATTATTACATTTTTAGTTATGTGGCCCATGGGAACCCTGTCACCCAGCCTTATTGTACTATTATTTCCAGTGAAACTCAGATGCCATCTACAGCTGCTTCTTTTAAAAGCCACTATATTAGTAAAATGGAAGTAAGTTTCAAGTGTCGAATAGATGCTACTACTGATGCAACTACTGAATAGAAGCTGCTACTGCTGCTGCAGGAATCTGACCAATATCTCCTGGACTTACCTTCTAGCCATGATGCTAGTAGATACTTTGTCTCTCCCTTCACTTTTCCATGTCCCAATCCACTGTCTGTGTGTGCTTAGTTATTCATGAGCTGCATTCTGAAGAAATGCATAAGCAGAGAAAGAAAGAGAAAGATGGAGGGAATAAAAGGAGGGAGAAATGAGAACAGGAATACTGGAAGAGTAGAACTGGTGATAGACTATTGATAATATCTATTTACCTAAATTTCTGTCAAATAATTCTTGAGCCCAGCCCGATGGCGAATGCCTATAATCACAGTGTCATGGGAGGCTGAGGCAGGAGGATCACAAGTTCAAAGCTAGTTTCAGCTACAGTAATGTGTTAAGCCCTGTCTCCAAATTAAAAAATAAAAACAAAAATGGGCTGGAGATGTGGCTCAGTGGTTGAGTGCCCATGAGTTCAATCCCAGTACACTCCGCAAAATAATTACAATAATTCTTGAAACAGATGACACCCTCTCACTTTGTAGCAGAATATTCAAAAACACCAGTTAGTCAAGCCATTTTTTCTCCAAGACCACAGGTCTGTCTTTGCTGAAAGGCTATGGAGGCTAGTGACTTTGTCCTCCTCATCTTTGATTTCCAGAACTACTGAGGAATCTCCAAAGTGCAAGTGGCAACTGCTCTCCCTGAATTCACTGCCTTACTTCTCAGACTGATCTAGTATAGATTCAAACAGTTCATTGACCTCTGAAATCAAGCCACCTGATCTGTGGTCAAAGTTTTATACACTGTGCCAAGCTTGAGCTTTAAGTGGTAGAAACTTTAAATCCCTGATTCATCTTAGGCCCAAAGGATTCCCAAGTTTATACTCAGCCCATGGAGATTCCACGGTGGTTGTATGGGTTTGTTTCCATTTTATTAAACCCTTCCCTCATTTCAGTACAATTTTCAAAAAATTATGAATCAATTTTTAAGTGTGTTTTTGAAACAGTTTTATCCTGGTATAATTGACATAACACCAAAATCACCATGTTTAAGTATATGATTCAAGAGTTTTTAGTATATTCACAAAGTTAGTTACCTAATTTTAGAACATTTTTATCACCCCCAAAAGAAACCCCATACCCATTAACACCATCCTATTTAAAATATACATACCCAAAGACCCCTATTTTTCACTGCATTCTTTTTATTTGATGGACTGATTGATTTTCTGGTACTAAGGATCAAATCCAGGGCCTTGTCCATACTGATGTCCATACCACATTCTTTAGCTCTCATTACATTTTTCTTAAAAATTATCTTAATTTTAGTTTCCAACAACATATACATCTTTTCTTATGGGTATTAAAACATAGGAATAATGGGGCAAATAATGTTAGTAAAACAATTCAAAATCAGGGGCAAATTAGTAACTACAGAATTAGTTAACTAAGTTAATTAACCAAATTCTGTTCTCAGAAGATCAGCCATATTTTACTCTTTTTTTCACAAACTAAATATTATTAGCTGCTTGTACCCATCAAAATAGATGGCTTAATTCTTCGTTGTTCATAATTATAAAATTCCATAATTTTGAGTTCATAAGAAGAGATGTATATGACCAAAATTCATATTAAATCACTTTCATTTTTAAAATTAATTAGTTTATTAATCTATTTATTTTTTACATCACTTTCAATATATTCTTTCCTGGGAAAATTTGATATATGTCTACCAACTGTCAAAGGCTTATAGTTCTCTATTTTTATAAGTGAATAGGGAAAATCAAACGACTTGAGGAATTTCTATCAGAAATGTATAAAATCTTGTGCTATAACCAAAGGGACTCACCACCTTCAATTACCTATAGTGGTCTTTCCCCTGACATGTGTGTATTTCTGTGTCTCTCTTTCTACACCAGAAGAAACAAGGAGTCTGTGCTAACAGCCTTCTCCTTTATCACACTGAAATTGGGGTTGTCTTTGCTGTATGAATTCATGGGATTGGCGCCCCTTTTTATAATGGAAATTCCTTGAAGACAACTGTTTTCTCCTTGTTCTCACAGTTCAAAAATATCTGAATAGTAACACACTTAGATAATATATTTGGTACAAATATTTAATGTAAATGAAGATGGGTTAAATATGGACATGTTATGATATATGCCATGAAATGTCAATCATTTATAGATCATAAAAACAGCAGTTTTCAGAAAAGCAAAATTTTCTCTATAAATTTTTTAAATCATATGTTCAAAATTTTCTGCCTTGTTTTTAAAGAGGTTTACCATCTCTTTTTAAGATACACAGGTTTCTGGTAATAAAGTGGCAACTCTTTCCTAAGATGTTTCTTTATATCTCTGCTAATAGCTATAACTTGCTAATTGATTAATTTCTTTCTTTCTTTCTTTCTTTTTTTCTGGAGAAGTCTTTTTTTTTTTTATTTCATCCCATGCTGACTATACTCAAAATTAGCATGAAGTTAGAGGAACGAAACACCATTTTGTTTTCTCTAACCATAGTAATCACAGGGAAAAAAAATCCAAATATATTAAATATTGATTATCAACTTCAAAGCCTAATTCTAAGTATTAAGATTGATCGTCTGATACCAATTCTTCCTGCCAAAACATCTGACATAGCAATAGCCAGTGACACAAAGCTAAACTCAAGAGTTATTTTTTAAATTATTTCATCATTTTTCAAGAATGTATGGGGAGAGTTGAAAATATCTTAAAAGTGCATGTACATACACACATATCATCATTTCTACCTATTAGTTTTTAGTGCTGGTCCTCTAAAAAGGGGAAGATAGGGCAGGGAGAAGAAGTCAGAATTGTTAGATATCAGGTGATTTGAGAAGCCTTATCTGGTGAACACCCAAACCCTGAGCAGCTTTCCTCAAGTCTCCAGTTTTCAAAGGAAAATATCAATTATTTGAGCATGAATTTTGGTTCCAAGTTACTGCTGATTTAATTACATTAGGTGAATTAATCAGAATCATCTTTGTTTTGAAAGAATCCCAGTTAAAGGAGGATGCTCTCCCCTTCCAAGAGAAAAACAGTGTGACTGGGTGCCGGGGGTTTGGGATTGGGGGTGAGCCAGAGTGGGCTGAAATCCTGGGCAAACACAACCAAAAAACAAAAAGCAGAAGACAAAGAGACAACCTGCTAATTTCTTCTTCTGTAAATACGCTTGCTCAGCTCCTGTGACAGGAACCCGAGCTGCCTGCAGAATGAGGAAAGGATAAAGTCTACTTGCATGAGAATGTCTTGAAATCTGGAAGTCTGTACAGTGGAAAAGATACTGGGAATGAAGGGTTATGCTCAGCATTTGGTGAAGACTCCATTGGGCCTTCACCTCTGCTGAATAAACCTTGCTCTTCTACCTCTCTAAGTGCTACTTGTCTCTTTGCAATGCCAGCATTTTCCATATTTTTCTGTATTTTTTGTAACAGTCAATTATTGTTACAACCCATTGTTATACTTGTTCTGTGCCCAAGTAACTTCAAGGAAAAAGTTACTCATTGTGTTATAATTGAAGTTTATTTTGTTTTATATGGAAATAGGAGAAACCTGGGAAAGAACTATAAGTTTTAACTGGACCCTATTTTTTTTTTTTTTGCATCTATACAACCCCTGTGGTTACTACTTCAATTTCCATAATTTTAATATTTAGCACTGAAAAAAAAGAGTGGAATGTGACTCCTTTTATTTATCCTCCTTCTATGTGTGACCATATATCACTTAATATGCAAGCAGTTTACATGCCAAGAACAGGTTGACATGTGAGAAGCTGGTGTGTACCAATTCTCAAGCAAGCTTACTGCAGAAAAAGAAGACTCATTTTTATTTTGTAATGGAGTGTTATGAAGTTACTCTCACTTATTAAAATAATGACTCTGGAAAAGGATTGAAAGGAAATACTGGGGATGAAGACATAGAACCAAATTCTTCTATTGCATGTAGAATATTCCAATAATGATAATGCACAAATAAAAATAATGGTAATAGAAGAAAAATCAGTGGATTAAAGCAAATGACTCAGAAGGAGGAGAGATATTGGAGAAGGAGATTGAGCAAATTGCTATATGCATTTGTGAATATGACATGATGAAACCCACCATGATGTATAATTATAATGCTCCAATCAAGAATAAATTTTTAAAAAGAATCTTGCTTTTTTAAAATAAGAACTCTCATTTTCACTCTATTGTATTTGAGACATATAAACATAATTACATATAAAAACTCATTTCTAAATTTTATCTTCTGTGATTTTGGAATTTTTTCTATAGTCATGTAAATTGATCAGGGCACTTGTAGTCTGAATGCATATTATAGTGGCTTTTCATTTTTAATATTGACTCCATCACAAAAATTTTCTAATTTTTTTGTCTCTTTGTTCTTCCCATAATATCTTTGTTTACATCTCAAAATAGAACTATAGCCTTCTGATTTTTAGAAGGTATATCTATTTATTGAAAGAAAATATAAGTGTGTAAAATAAAGGAAAAAAGAGAAAAAGAGTGTACTTTTGGTTTTGAGGGGAAGGAGAAAGTGGAGGGTGTTGCTATCAAAACCAATGTGAAAAGACTAAATGAAGAACATTGAGTCAAATCACACCAAAGATAAGTACAGGTGAAAAGTAAAGGGAATTTAGAGAAAAAAATCTTTGGAAAATTGTTCTATTTTCTTTTATTTTACTTTAGAGCTGTGATGCATTTATTTTAGATTTTTAAATAAAGATCATTAGGAGGCATTTTCATGAGTCCTGTACCTTCTCTGGTACATAGTGGTCACTAAGCAATTTGATAGTAAGTCTGTGAGCATCTTACCTATTGTGGTTTGTGTTTTTTGTTTGTTTGTTTGTTTGTTTTTGTACCAAGGATTGAACCCAGGGGCACTTAACCACTGAGCCACAGCCCTTTCTATGTTTTATTTTGAGACAAGGCCTTACCAAATTGCTGAGGTTGATTTGAACTTGGGATCCTCCTGCGTCAGCCTTTGGAGTCTCTGGGATTACAGGCATCTGCCACTACACCCAGCCTATTGTGATTTTTAAAATTTTTTATTTTGCATTTGTTCTAATTAGTTATACAAAACAGTAGAATGCATTTTTACATATAACACATAGAGTATAACTTCTCCTTCTTCTGGTTGTACATGATGTAGAGTTATACAGGTAGTGTAATCATATATTCACATAGGGTAAATAATGTCTGATTCATTCTAGTATCATTCTTACCCTCATATTCTCTCCCTCCCTTCATTCCCCTCTGTCTACTCCAAAGTACCTCTATTCTTTCTTAGCCCCAATCCTTATTGTGAATTAGCATCCACATATTAGAGAAAACATTTGGCCTTTGGTTCTTTGGGATTGGCTTATTTCATTTAGCATGATATTCTCTAGTACCATCCATGTACCAGCAAATGCAATGATTTCATGCTTCTTTAAGACTGAGTAATATTCTATTGTGTATATATGCCTCATTTTCTTTATCCATTTATCTGTTGAAGGGAACCTAGGTTGGTTCCATAGTTTACTATTGTGAATTATGCTGCTATGAACATTGATTTGGCTGTGTTACTGTAGTATGCTCATTTTGAGTCTTGTGGGTATAAATTGAGGAGTGAGATAACTGGGTCAAATGGTGGCTCCATTCCAAGTCTCCTGAGGGATCTCCATACTGCCATCTGGGTTTTTGCTGCTCACTTCTTCTGCAGTGCCAGGGACCAACCCAGAGCATTGTTATGCTAGGCGAGTGCTCTACCACGAAGCTACACTCCTGACCTGCTTTTATTTTTTTAAGGTGCCTATCCAGGCAGCAAAACATCAAAGTCTGTATTTCTTCTTTTCTACTCAGGCCTCTTATGTAAGGAGCTGAAGGGGAAATAAAATATACAGGATGAAAAGATGGCAACATTGCCACCCCCAGGACCTCAGAGCTTTGTCCACTTCACAAAACAGTCCCTTGCCCTCATTGAACAACGCATTGCTGAAGAAAAAGCAAAGGAACCCAAAGAAGAAAAGAAAGATGAGGAGGAGGATGGTCCAAAGCCAAGCAGTGACTTGGAAGCCGGCAAGCAGTTGCCCTTCATTTATGGAGACATTCCACCCGGCATGGTGTCAGAGCCCCTGGAGGACCTGGACCCGTACTATGCAGACAAAAAGGTGAGTTCTTGGGACGTCAGTGGCAGGTTTTTGTTGGCTTCCTTCTGTACAAAAACAACAACAACAAAAAAATTAAATTGAGGTTAATTTGAACTCAGTAAACATATCATCATCAAAATATTAAGTTAAATACATACATAGTAAATTCAGAATCTGTGCTTCTAATTTTTCATTAATCCAGATTTTAGTGTCGCTAATTTGGTTTCTTTAGTCTTTTTAAAGGGTTCAGTAGTATACTATTCTGCCTGTCTGAATATGACACACTGATCCCACAAATTTCAGTCATTATTTTCCCTGCTCATAGTTAATTCCTGAGTGTATAAACTCAAAAATTTCATGAAAATGTTTAATACAAATGAAAATTTCTGATTTAAAATTTTAAACACCAGGGTAGCTTGAACTTGACAAGGGTACATAGCAATGTTATGACTTCCATGCTAGCTTGGACTCTTATCATCACCACCTGTAGCATAATTGTTCACATGCTTTCTGTTTGTAGAAAGAATGGGTGAATGGATTTTTTTTAAAGCATGGGGTATTATTGTTTAAGAAAAATAGTTGTACTCAAGGACTACTTATTAATTTTAAAACTGATATTCAATGTGAAAGTGAATTTTATGTCACCATTTAGACATACCTGATGTAGTGAAAGGGAACAGGAAAATAAGAGCATGTGAAAATAATTGTTTCTGATTGGCCTCTTGAGCACTTGCTGCCACTTACAAATAAAAGTGAAAATTCATGAAATTATCTCCCCAGTTGGGTTAATGTTTATGGCCAGAAGGCCACTGATAAACTTTAAGATAAATTCTGAATAAGCAACATAATGAAGGCTAAGGCAGTGCCTTCTAGATGACACAAATAACTTGGCTGCCACGACAGGGATTTAAACCTGGTCTTTCTGAATTCCAGGGCAATGGCTTGGGTTGTTTTAATGTTTTCCTGTAGCAATTATTTTCTCATTTGTTTTTCACTTCTCACATACCAAAGTGATAGATAATGTCACTCGTTACACAATGGATATAATATTTTAAGAAAGCTTATTTTTGCTTTTATTATTTTTGAAAATTACCATGGATGGTTGGCAAGAAAGTTTTTTTTTAACTTATAATGTTTTAATTTTAGCCATCACTATTATTACAATTAAAATAGGGAAATTGAACTGAGTGATTGGAAGGATTCTTCCAACTCTGACATTTCTTAAATTTATGAAACTGTATTTTGGGAAAACTCATTTACTATTAACCACGACTATTGTCAGCAAGTATTAAAATTCTCAAAATTTGATGATTACAATTAGAGATGCTACTTTCTGCCTGATTAGATTAAAATGTAGTATAATGGAAGAGAAAGAAGTTATATTTATTTGTTTGTTTAGTTATTTATTTTACTGGGGATTTAACCTAAGGGTGTTTAAACACTGAGCCACGGCCCTTTAATTTTTTTTTTTTTTTTAAATTTTGAGACAGTGTCTCTCTAAGTTGTTCAGGGCCTTGCTAAATTGCTGAGGCTGACTTTGAACCTGCAATACTCCTGCCTCAGCCTGGAATTATAGGCATGCACCACTGTGCCTGATAAAAATTGTATTTTAACTAATTTCAGTAGCTACAAATTATTGTTGCTATTGAAGATATATATGAAAAATAGAAAACATAGTATTTTGGAAGCATTAAGAAATGCATGATTATAAATATAATTGAAAAGAATCAGAGTTCATTGGTCATGGTGATATTGATAGCTGTGTTGTGACACTGGAAGCAACTTGCCTGAGTTCAGTGGCACTATTTTTTAAAGATGACACTACCAAATGAAGCCCAACTGCTGTTATCATGTGCTATACTGAAAATTTACTTTCTTAACTTCATACTGTTTTCTTTTTGCTCCTGCAGACTTTTATAGTATTGAACAAAGGGAAAGCAATCTTCCGTTTCAATGCCGCACCTGCTTTATACATACTGTCTCCTTTCAGTCGTCTGAGAAGAATATCTATTAAGATTTTAGTACACTCATATCCTTTCCAAAATATATACTTGAAAGATATTGGAGAGCAAAGTTTTTACTACTGTATTAGAATATAGGTTTTCGTCCTTTTGCATCTTTGAATGACCCTGATTTTAATTTATGGATTTCAATATAAATCAGTGTAGATCTCAGGATTAGGAGAATGTCATTATTAGCATTTTTATAATATTACTTTTATTTATTTTTGAAAAAACCAAAAAAGAAAGAAAGAAAGAACCAAAACTATAAGCTCCTTTAGATTCTTTTCTAAGGAAAAGTTGTTCATATTTCAGCAAGTATTATCATCCAGTATTCAAAGTTCCTATTGTGGTCTCTTGTGTTCCTTGATTCTAAGCCACCTTATTCAGCATGCTTATCATGTGCACTATTCTGACAAACTGCATATTTATGACCATGAGTAGCCCTCCAGAATGGACCAAAAATGTAGAGTAAGTGGATATATATTTTAATATAGTTTCACGTTATCATTTTCATCCTTTCCTTTCCTTCTAGAAAGTTAGCTTCATAAAAATCATGATGTTTATCCTCATCCTATATAGTTGCTTTTCTTTATTTTTTTCTCAATGCTATTATCTCACTAGCAGTAGATTAGAATAATTTGATACCATATTTTCAAGAACAAACTCATCAGCTCCCTTGCCCTGTTCTTAAACATGTCATCTATCTCTTGTTCTTGAGTGTATTTTTGATAGGAGGAACCTAGGAATTTTCTAGGCAGACCTAACACCTATGTTCTTGGTTATTTCAAGCATCTCCTCTGTCTGGAAATGTTTCTGATATGTACATTTTAAGAATTTCTGGAAAGAACTTTATTGCAATTTATTTTAATAGAAAGTAGGTCCATAAACAAACAGCATCTGCCAATAGATGTCTTTGGTTAATCAGAGGACATAAGTATTAAAGATTTACACAAAGCTATATTCTTTTCACACCTAATATACCTATGGGTTCCTGTGTTTAGGTACACTTTTACTGGAATATATACTTTTGAATCACTCGTAAAAATCCTTGCAAGAGGCTTCTGTGTAGGAGAATTCACTTTCCTTCGCGACCCATGGAACTGGCTGGATTTTATTGTCATTATTTTTGCGTAAGTACTCTCATTTTTTTGGAAGGGGGAACTCATGAAAATCTCAGACAGCACAGTATTACAGTAAGAACAACCCATGGGGTCTGATTTTTCCTGCATACATAAGGGTTGCAGTTAATAGAACAAGAAGCTGTATGAAAGTTACTTGTTGATAGGAAAATAATACATTTTTCAGATAGAGTATTTCCTATTCAAATATATATGACATCAAGATTGATCACCTTGCTTCATGCTTAGCACTTGAGTGAATCACCTATGCAGTACCAATTAGGTGTGCATTTTTTTCCAAGTTTTTACTTAAAAATCTTAAAAATCTGTAAGAAGTACAAAAATATCCTCAAGTTATTATAAGTATGGTGCTCTTTTTATTAACTTGTATTATTCAAGGACTAATGTGGGGGCTGGGGGTGTAGCTCAGTGGTGGAGTGCTAACCTAGCACATGTGAGGCACTAGGTTTGATCCTCAGCACCACATTAAAAATAAATAATATAAAAGTATTGAGGCCATGTACAACTAAAAATTTTAAAAAGGGCTAATACATGTTTTAAAATAAAAAAGTGTTTTATAGGAATTGTCACTATTTACTAGACCTAATATTAATGCCTTTTATATGCATTCCATATACATCTACAGTTTATATTTGAGGGAAATATTACATTAAGATATTTTTTAAA